TATGTTACGTCAGATAAGAAGCTCAACAATAAATATTGATTCTCGAATTAAAGAATATAATTATGTTTTGTATATTGTAAAATCAGTAGAATAGAAGCATAATTTACTATCAATAACCATATAAATGACAACAAACGCATAGCAATTAAGCTCTAAAACTATACTAATCTGACCTCTACATAATGATAATATCTTCGATTATCCAAAATGATGCTAACCCATTCTGGCTTTTTTCTACAGATTCAATAATAGCATGAAGTCTGGACATAGTAAATCTTGATGTAAATCATTAGACAAATGATCATGCACTTAAATATTAAGTTAAGAGAATTTTCTTTACAATATAAAACTGAATGTAAAGTTTATTCTTCTTTACCAAAAAATTGTTCCATTGTCTTCTTTGCGCTCTTAAGTAAGATCTTCATCTTATAATTTACAATTATTATTACTCCTTTTTCATCTAATTCTAACAAATTTGCATTAAACTGTGTATTTAGATATACTTTTCATATTTGATGAGTCAGATAATATAAAAGGTGTTTACAATAAATCATTTAATTTATCATGTAATATAATGAAAGTATCAATTTTTAACTGATAAAAACTTCAATTAATTGTTCAAATTTAATATATTTATGACTATGTAATTCTAAACAAATATCAAAAACATATGAAAGATACTAATATAGACATTATGAATAATAGTCATATAGCAGCAATTTCATATTCTTGTTCATAAAACTTTTTAAAATAATGATATAAATGTTTAAATCTTTATAATAAAATTTACAATAAATAAACTAAATAAAAAGCAAATTTTATGATAATATATATAATATGAATTATATAATTATTTACTTAAAGATTATTATTTTAAATATTTTTTTAACAAATTGTTTTCATTTATAAAAATTTTATATTTATAATGACTATAAATTGAATAGAGACCATTAAGATCTTCTTGATAAATATATTTTTTTCTTATAAAAGTATTATAAAGATAATTATGTAATACTATCTAAAAATTAGCAGCTAAATTTTTTTATAAAGCTTTTTTTATATTTTTGAAATATTTTATCAGAAATTTAGTTTTAATAATTGTATCTGATGAAAAAATCTAATAAAAATTAATATCAGTTAAATTGAAAATATAAATTTAAAATTATATAATAAAATATTTACTGATATTCTAATTATTTTATATAAGACAATTTCTATTTATATACAGATGTATTATACACAGATCACATAATATGGCTGACATTAACATTACTTTTACTAATATGAAGAAATTAAAAAAATACCTGTATGATAACTATGTAATAGATAGTATATAATGAATAATAATTTTTTACTGAAAAAATTTTAAGTCCTTGAAATAAATAGTAAAAACTTAAGGTGAAAAGTATGATACCAGTAACAAATATATATCACATGACTTATGTATATATATCTCATGTAAATTTAGAAATTTTCTTTATATAAAACTGATTTATAATACTTTTATTATCTTAATCCTTTTTGTTGACATTTAATAATTTTTAAATATAATTTTATAAAGTTTCAGTTTGATCATATTTGTTTAATATAAGATAAAGAAAATTAAGATCATATAAAATCTGTAATACTATACAATTTTTATCTAAATTATTAATCTTATCTAAAATTCAAACTTTAAAAATAAATATTTATTAATATTTTTATTTTTTATCTTAAATTGAATTTTATTATAAAATATAATTTCTATATAAAATATATGTCAAAGCATTAATCTTTAGATATAAAGTTCACATAAACTTATTTGATATTTAGATTTATATATTTGTATTAAAGAAGTTTATAATTCAACAATTTTACTTTGTTAATTTTTTTAATTTTTAATAAATCTAAGCTAATTAATATTAAATTTTATTCTTTTATTAAGATAAAATCCAAAAAAATTGTTATAATACAAATGTATTATCTTATTCTTTTAATTTACATAATAGAATTTGTAGTTAACTAGTTAATATTTGTATATATTTATTATTAATACCAAATAGTTTATTAACATTAAATTCTGATTTGTGATCTATTTTAAACTAAACTTCTGTTAACTTTTTCTACAAACAATTTAAAATTTATTTTTTTTTTATAAACAATAAGTATATTTTTTTTATCTGTAAAGCTTTGAATATATAAAATTATTTTTTTTCTTAAAATATGATTGATAACTAGCATTAGCATAATTTTATTTTTAGTTTTTTAATATACTAATACTAAAAACTACAAATCCTATATTAAGTAGTTCAGGAAATTCATTTTTGTATTAAATAAGAATTAATACAATGATATAATAATAACTGAAGAACTTATTTATATATTGCTATATTTGAACTGGTTTGCATATATTGCAACCTAATTATTCTAGATTATTACCTAGTTATAGATATATTGTTATTTACTTATGAATATACTATTATCTATTTACTATATTTAAATTCTGTGAGTTTTTTATATTTAAGTTAATATTTATTTCTTTTTATTGTTCTGTAGCCTTTTCATAGCTAAATTATTACTTATATATTTACATTACTCTATATTTTTATTATAGATAAGAAGTTAACGTTTATTAGTATTATTTTGTATTCTTTTTATTATCAAAAAATATATTAAGTAGTATAATATTTTGTGATACAATTTTGGTTAATTTTGATTAGCATAAAACTTTGTATAAGCTAGCTTGACTTAGGAAGATCAATTGATAATTCAAACTAAACTAAGTCAGCTTACAAGCTAACTTTTTTAACTTACATTTATATATTTAAAACTAGGTAACAGGGACTGTTTATAAGTCTAAAACGTTAAAAATATAACACATTTTAAATTCATAAGATAAAGAAATTTGTAATAGATTAGCAGTAAACAAATACTATAAACATCAACTCAAATAAAGAGTAAAGAGACAGACAGACATCTTATATCATTACGTCTAAACTGTAATAATTTTACGCTATACTCTAGACTAATAAAATTCTAACTATTTCACGTAATATCATTGCATTAGCCATTTTTAGATATTATATAACAAGAAGGTATTAAATCTTTTAACAGAATAATGATCCTAAACACACAGCCAAAAAAATTAAAAGACTTCTTTCTAAATGAAGTTAAAGATTGTTAGATTAGTGATCAAATAATCTGAATTTAAATCTGATTGAGAATTTGTAATCAATTTTGGAGAAACGTATGAAAAAAAAAGTCAACAATTTTATAATTAATAAAAAATCAATTACTATAGATGTTTTTATTGATATAATTAAAAAAAATAAAAGGGAATTGAGCCAAAATTCTTCTTAATTTGATTCGTAATATACCAAATGATTGGAATAAATAATTGATGAGAATGACAATAAGCTAAGCTATTGACTTAGTTTAATATTTTTTTTCATTATATGCAGCTAGAGTTAAAAAGAAAAAGCCATTGCTTATAGAATTACTCAAAAAAACTTTGCTAAAAGTATTGTGATTGGACTATAGAAGATTGGTGAAGGGTAGTGTGTTCAGATGAGAATAAGTTCTTGATTTTTGGTTCAGATGGAAGGGAATGGTGTTGGAGAGATCCAAAATTACCTTTTACAACCACAACATATTAAGCTAACTGTAAAGTTTGGTAGAAGTTCTATAATGATATGGGTTATATAGATGCATTTGGTGTAGGAAAGTACTGTAAAATTGATGGAAGAATGAGAGTTATATCGAGAAATTTTAGCAGATGAATTCATGGGAACTCTTAACAAATGTGATTTAAATGTAGATGATAGCATTTTTCAACAGGATAATAATCCAAAATATACAGTAAAAAGCCATACGAATGGTTTGATAATAATAATATTAAGATTTTGGATTAGCCATCACAATCACTGAACTTAAATCCTATCGAACATCTGTGAAACAAAATTGATCGTTGATTGCGATGGCTTCCTGATAATATTACTAGTACAAAACTAATTGATACAATGCCACAAAGAATTAAAGATATACTTAAGGCTAATGGAGGATATACAAAGTGGTAATAATTATATTAAAAAAATTTTGGGTGTGGTAGGTTAGCAACAAATCAAAGAATTTTATGTAATTAGTTTATTCTTTATATTTGCCAAAAGTATTGTTCCACGAAAAAAATATATAACGCGGAATTTTTTAAAAATTTACAAATAAAGTATCAATTAAATTTAAATATATTAAAAATAAAGTCACAGACTTTAAAATTGTTTAAATTTTCGATTTTATTACATGGGTATTATGATTTGAAAGTTTTAAATGAAGTGGAACAATAATTATGGAAGTCACTGTAAATTATGGAAGAAAGTGCCAATTTTGGCGATTATGTACATAAAGAAGAGTAGCTTTAATAAATATTTTATTATTATTTTTCTTTTTGAAATAAATAAAAGAATAAAATTTTTAAATATTATATACTTTATATATTATGTTTTAGAAATTAGCTTGTTTTTTCTCTTTAAATTCGAAGAAAACAGAATTGATTTGTATATGCCAAGTGATATACGATTTCGGACCAATCAGGTTCAAAGGGGGGTACAGGATAAGAGTCTGCACCCCCCAGGTCTAGGATAAAGATCTACACCCGGGGTACAGGTTAAGGAACCTCATATATGAAACGTCTTAATTTCGTACCGTGCTTCGATTGTTTCACGATGCCAATTAAAGAGATCTGACCATGAGAGTGAATCATCTTCAGTTAATTGACAAAGATCGCGATAGCAAACATGTAGAAGGACCTTTATACGGCAAAATTCCTCCCATTGAGGACCATTAATCTGAGGTGATGGTATTATCGCTGTCAGTACTGCGCATACGCCTATGTTGGTTGATCACAGAAATAATGTAATAAACACGGGAGGAGTACAAAAGGGGTATAGAAATGTATCAATCTTGTGGAAATTTTGTGAGTGATTTACACGATTTATCCTGGCAAAACTGCAAAAACACGGCTAAAAATGATGGAATTGCATAGCAAAGCGTGTGTTGCCGAAAGTATCATATTTGAGGTTGACAATGAAAAAGAAGAAAGCGTTAATCTGGAGGAATATGAAAACTTTTCTTGCAACTTAGCAATAATATTAGCAAGAAACAGGGAAGTGGTAGCAGTAAGATTGATCCACCACGCAAATAAATGTGATGTTTACCTTGCTAAAAACAGCCCTTGGACCAACATAGATGTTGAGTATATCGACGAAATCGAGAAATATGTTAAAAGTTTGTCTAAAGATGCTCACATCAAATTAGAAGTTGCTTTGGAAAGAGAAGATGTGGGGAATTTATTCGGACGTGTATTGGAGTATTGTTCTGCTAAGATCGATAATAGATTTGAAAAACTTAAGGGCGACATAAAAGATGATATAAAAAATAATAAACAAGATCCGCATATTAGAACTTTTATGGATTATGCAAATATTAACGCTAAGAATATAGATGAAGTAGATGGATACACTTTAAGTCCGGTATGTAATAATTACTATAAGGAATTCAATTTCTAAGACATATTAGAAAGTTGGGATCATATTATGCGGGTTTGATAGCATGTGCTTGTAAGTCTCAGTACAAACTCCAATTTGCTAATATACGTGTGCGTAGAATTGATCCCGTTATTATTAATCAACCCATATCTTTTTGGAAGAATACTGTCCAAAGGTATATTCCTGATCCCGCACAGTATGAAGAATTTAAGAGGAGATGTTTGAACGATAAATACATATCAGGAAGACTAACCAATATATATGGTAGCGTAGATGGACTGGACAACGAAGACATCAAACAACGCATGTATTTACATGCAGAAATGAACTTATTATAAGATATTGTAGATTATCACGATCATAATAAAGGCAAGGAGATATTTATAGCGGTATCTAAGAGAAGTTGTTACTTATATGAATCATATATTAGATTTGTAAACAGAAAAGGATATAAAGTCTACACTTCTGGAGCGCATAAGAAATTATTTTCTAAATGGTTACTTCCGGAATTAAAAGACATCTCCCTCAGAAATGAATCCTTGAATTATATGATAAACCAACTTGATAAGGTCATTAATAAAGAAATAGCAAAACATTAGCATAGTGGCGAGGTCTGATAGTGACGGAGAAAGTGTGAAGACAAATAAAAATACTAATGTTTATGAAAAAGGTTCTAACTTATTCGTGGCTAAAAAGCCTAATAAGTAAAAACTACACATTAAAAAATTCTAGTTAATGATAACTTTATTTTGTATTTTACATATATTTTTTCTATAACAAAGCTTAATTAGTAAATTTGTTACTATATGATGAGATTTTGCATATTCAATACTACCAAACGCTAATTTTTTCGATATCTATACGCCTACTTGGTTGCTTTTATAATTTCCAATATTGCACAAAAATCGGTATGGTGAATATTAAGAATTATCATGGGACATCTATAAAATCAGGCATTATACAGACTTTATTGATCTATTTCATTTACTATCTTGATCATTGATATACGCAGTCATTAATTCAATGCCTTGAATTTTCCGGAACAAATAGACTAGTCTACATTGCGGATGTTGCATATGATGTCGAGCCAAGTTTGCCTGATGACTCTTCACGCCTCGAAACGATACCAATAACTTTTAGATTATAAACTTTTTGTCACGATCAGTGTTGTATACGAAGAAAATTTTTATTAAAACGAAAAATAAATACAAGTTACCACGTTACTACGTTTCTATCCCGATCTGAGAATCATCCGTCATCCGTAATCTGCAATCACGTGATTGGCAGATCATCCTTAATCTGGTGAACGGATATCCGATTATCCGCCCGTTGCACCCGTTAGATTATTAGTTATTTATTAGAAATACAAAACTGCCCAATATTTTTATAAATTAAGTTTATCTCGTGTTCTATAACATCATCTTGAGTGATTTATGTGAATTAAATTAACATCGTGTGTAAGGCATTGCCTAGTTATTTATTATTATATGTTATTTTATTATTTGGAAAAATAAAAAAAGTATCGAATGTTAACTATGCATAAGAAAACTTGATTTATAACTCTCAAAAATTGAATCTAAATGCTTACTATTCCGTTTTAAAACGTCAACCTTTTGAATAATCTAAATCTAGGATACATTCTAGTTCTCTTTGCAGTTAACAAATTTCCGGCATCTGAAAACAACCTTTCACTAGCTAAGTATTTTTAACAAGTAAATTTAGAACCGGAAACTTTTCTTTTCGCTCATATCACACATGTAAATGGATAAACTTCTAAATCAATTTCTTCCAACTGTAAATAAAAACCAACCTTATCATCTGCTAGAGAAACCTTTTTCTTTAAATTTGCAAAATCTGTAAATCCTTTTTTGCCTTTACTCTCATCTACATTTGTGGATGGTGGTGATAAATTAGAATTATTGTTTTGATCTTGAGACTTTAATTCTTCATACTTTTCTCTTAATAAATTTTCAGTTGCTTGACGTTCTGTAATAGTAACAAAATTGAGATCTTTCATCCTTGGATCTAAAAGACTAGGAAGAAGCATATCAGGTGATATAAGATTATTCCAATAATGATCTATAGCTACAAAAAGGTAGAGTTTAATTTTTTAAATTAAGCCATTACAATTAGCAGGTTCGCTAATTCTAATTTTTCTAGTAGCATTAACTGGTGTCATTTTCTATTGCAATCTCTTCATCAAATGCCACTTTATCATTATCACGAATAATTTTTCTAGCTGCTAATATATCACATAATGTTGTAGGATGAAATTGTTTTTTGATATCAATTAATATAGGAATTATTATTGAATGTGTATAGATTTGAAAAACTT